TGTCACTAGGGTCAGATGAGATAGTGACAGAGCTCTGAACTTTCAGACACCACATGGTTCTCATCATTTGCATTCTTAGGGTGTTCGGTCTGGAGTCTGCAAACCCAGAAGACAAGAATGAGACCCTTTCCCATCTCAGCTGCCCAGCAGCCTTTGTCCCATGATCATTAAACTTTATACTAAAATTTTAGCAAACACAATGCTCTGGGTTTATTCAGAATTATTAGGTGATAGATACTTAAAATGCTTCTTTTTTCTCATGAAAGTGGTAGGTATGTATGGCCAGTTGAAGTAATGAAAATATAGCTTTTGATAAAGCTGTTCATTTATAAAAATAGTTGGTATTTTGTTATTTTTTTCCTTTTCCTCACACTTCGGTGACGTCTTTCACTGTTCGTTCTGTTCTGCGCGTGGCCATGTTTGCTCCATGAAGACGAGTCCGACCTGCTCGGGGCCCTGCCCGCTACGATGCAGTTGGCGCTCGCTGTCGACGTGAACTTTGGCATCATCAGCAAGGTCGACTTGTTCAAGGCAAGTGCTTTACAGTGACTAGAACGACGCCATACCCGTTTCTGTGTAAAATCTGAGCTCTTGCTCTAGACAGCATTTATGACTGTTTTGCCGTATGTTTTAGCTAAATCAAAATATCTAGAGAATTTATATGGAATTAGAGTCAAATAATGTGGATGATTGACTCTCTAGAAGCCTCTCTCTCCTAATTGGTCGAAGAGAATGGGCTCTTCGGGCTCTTCTTGTGTTACTTTAAGTATCATGAGGCTCTGCAGTCCGTGTCTCTGCTGCTGGGCGTGTCGATCCCAGCTTGGAAAGTGCCTTGTGACGCCTGACAAGGCAGGCGGCAGATCGGCTCTGGACCGGCCTGGCATTCTGAGAATCGTGCCTAATCACGTCTCCTGTAGAAATGATTTGGAGGTGAACTTTTTAGATGGCCAAATTCACATTTAGAGGCCTTGTTTGTTTTTTAGAAAAAATGCATAACAAAGAAATGTTTTTAATTTACTACCCTCTTTTTAATGCCTTACACTGCACGTAAGTTTTTCTCACCTAACATTTAATTCTATGTGACACTCCCTGAGTCATCTATTTAATTTGTTCATTCACAGATACGTATTAAGTTCCTGTTATGTTTCAGGCACCATTTTAGCCATGGAGAATACAACATTTTAAAACAAATACTCCCACACATGGAGCTTACATTCCAAAAGAGGGAAATGAAAACGAACACATCATGTGTGGAGGTTAATTAAGCAGATGAAGGAGGCTGGGCGTGGTGCTGGTCTTGAGGCTGCTCTGATGCAGGGCCTGGGAGCCGAGGCCCTCAGGAAGCCGGGAGTGAGCCGGGCACATGCTGGGAGCGGGAGGGGAGGGGAGGGGTTGGGGATGTTACCGGAGGATGGACGCCCAGAAGTCCTGAGCTGGGAGACTGGAGCAGAGGCAGAGTGATGGAGAGCGAGACTAGTCAGGAGAGAGCAGAAAGGGGAGGCGGGAGGCAGGTTAATGAAGGCCTCGGAGGCTGCAGCGCAGACTCTGGAATGTACTATAATGTAAAAACCACTGAAGATCTGGAGCAGAAGGTGACCTCTTTGAGATTGCTTTGAAAAATATCATCCTTCCCGCTGTGTGGAAGACAGACCACAGGAATTGAGTGTGCGAAGGCGGGAAGGCCAGACAGGAGCTGCCACAACCATCTGTGCAAGACACAGAGGCGACCGGACCCAGAGTAGGAGCAGAGCTGCTTAAAAAGGGCCAAATACCGCATGAATTGGCAGGGAGAGTCTAAGTTTTTGCTGTTTGTGTGAAGGGAGCGAGAGAGTGAACAGGAGCGAGGAAGATGCCAAGGATCTGAGCCTGAGACACAGGCAGCACAAAGATTTCATTTGCAAAATGGAAAATTATAGAGTAAGTGTAGGGTAGGGGGGGTAGCAAGGGACTCTGTTTTTATTGTGTTAGTCTGAGGTGACAGACTTCCAGTTTGAATGTCATGTGGGCAATTGGATAAATAAGTCTGAGTTCAGGGGCGAGGGCTGAGCTGGAGCAATAAATTTGGACATATCAGCATATTGATGTATTTTAAGTCATAGGACTAAATGTGATCCCTAAGATGGAAGTATAGACAGAAAAGAAGATGGAAGGTTCAGACAGGTACGGGGACAGGATGAAGAAGTATAAGCTGAGGGTAGGGAGGCGAGGCACAGGCCCTCCCAATGTCAGGGTACGACAGGCCCGTGTCCTGGGGCTCTGTCCCTCACATATCCCATTGAGATTTCCATCAAGATTTTGATGGAGATATAAACCATGTGATTTTCAAACTGGCAGATGACACAAAGCAAAAAGGAATGGTTTAAAATATGCCACATCACAAAATTTAAAATTAACTGAATATTCTGAACAATGAGCAAAGCCAAGATTAATTTCAACAAGCACAAAAGTAAAATTCTGGACTCACGTATAATATTATAGTATTGCGATGTAAAGAGAGCAATAGTTTTTAAATAATTTTTTTAGGCCCGTGAATTTTAGTCAACCTCAAACTCCATATGAGTACACAGAGTTATGTATGACATTGCCCAGAATTTTAACGTAATACTGGTATTTTTGACTATTTCAACTATATCTGGATTAACATATCACATTGCAAATAACCATTTTTTAAGAAAGACCTTGACAAATTGGAAAATCTTCCAGCCAAGGGTATTAGAGGTAAGAATTGATTCGTGGACCTAGGAGATAGTAAAAGAGTGGTGTTATAAATAAAATATTCTATGATACAAGTCAGATCCTACTTCTGGTAGAGAGGGGTGATGGAGAAATTGACTAGGAACAGGCATGAGGGAACTGGGGGGGATGAGAGAAAGTTGTCTGTCTTGCCAGAGAAGTTACACAGTCTGTGCTTTGTCAAAATTCAACTGTCCCTTCAAATTTGTATATTTTAGTACATATAAATTATTCGTCCATTAAAAAATAACCTCAAAGGAAAATGTGTAGAGTTTGAGGATGTTTAGTTGTGGGGAAAAGATTAAATTCAAGAGCAGCAGAAGTTGCATATGCTAAAGTCTGTTATATGGACAAGGAATAAGACTTTCTCCATCGGCGGTTCCCAGCCTTCCTGGCACCAGGGACCGGATTCGTGGAAGACAGTTTTTCCACGAACAGGGTAGAGGTTGGGATGATTCCAGCCCATATTTATTGCACACTTTATTTTTATTATTATTACATTGTAATATATAATTAAATAATTATACTACTCACCATAATGCAGAATCAGATGCCACCAGATGCAGCTGTACAAGTTGATGAAGAACATCAACTCACTTGCCACTATAAAGCCTGTCACCAGATGCAGCTTACTCGTCACTTGCCAGTCACTGATAGGGTTTGGATATGAGTCTGTATGCAATGGATTTATTATGGTCTCTGTGCGGTCACACCTCTCTGCCAGTGTTAATCTGTGCTTGCAGCCACTCCTCAGCATTGGCATCAGCGTCTCTGGTCCACCTCAGATCCTCAGGCACTGAGTTCTCATAAGGAGCGCGCAACCTAGATGCCTCATATGCGCGGTTCACAGGAGGGTTCGCGCTCCTATGAGACTCTAACGCCTGAGGACCTGAGGCAGAGCTGAAGCGGTGATGCTGGTGCTGGGGAGAGCGTGGCCGCAAGTACATGTGAAGCTTCACTAGCTCACCTGCTGCTCACCTCCTGCTGTGCGGCCCGGTTCCTGACAAGCCACTGATGGCACCGGGCCATGGCCTGGGAGTTGGGGACCCCGCTCTGTATTGTTCAGCAAGATAATGTTCAACTCTAAACCCCATTTCTAAGTCTCAGAGTGAAACCTCCCTGGAAAACCAGGCTTGGTCCTAAGTCTCACTACCAACAGGACATAGGTCAGTTTCAGACACAGAGCAACTGCTTAGCAAAAGCCTTAGCAAGGAAGGCAGGAAGTGGGGAAGGGAGAAGGGGAGGGGAGGGGAGGGGAGGGGTGCACTGGGGCCGAAACCTGGAGAGGACTGGAAAGGAGTTTCCGGTTACTAGTGGCAGTTCTCCCACACCCAGTTCTTACACGGCGCCTGCATTAGGAGTTTCCAGCAAAACAGAACAAATAGCATGTGGATATACAGGGAGATTCATTTTAAGGAACTGGCTCGGGCAATTAATTGGGGCTGGCAAGGCCGAAACCTGAAGGGCAGGATGGCAGATAGAGACGCCGGAGAGAATTGATAAGAGAATTGATCCCGAGTCCAGAAGCTGTTGGAAGCAGAGCTCCCTCTTCCTCAGGGAGGTCCATCTTTTTTCTCTTAAGCCCTCGACTGATTGGATGAGACCCACCCACATAATGGAGTACACTCTGCTTTACTCAAAATCTAATGATTTAAATGGTAATGTCATCTAAAAGTACATTCACAGTGACATTTAGACTGGTGTTACAAATACCTGAATACCATGGCCTCACCAGGTCGACAGGTTAAATTAACTGTGCCAGTACCCAAGCATTGTCAGAGCTGTGTGGAATATAATTCAGTAAAAGGTAACGAACCGAGACGTTGCCAACTCCAAATTTTAAAATTTATGCACATCTTCTCGAAAATAATCGTAGCTGCTGTTTATTGAGCTCTAACTATGTACCAACTGCTTTGTTGCCTTCTGTCAGGTAATTCTCATAGCAAGTCTCTGACAAAAGTTTATTACTGTCCCATTTTTCAGAAAATGCAAAGCGCTCGGCCGACTGCAGCCATAGAGGTCTAAGTGATGGTCCGAGGTGCCAGCCAAGCTTCTGTCACTCCGCGGTCCGTCACTTAACCAGGCCGCGCTGGCCCTTCACTTCCTCACCACCCGGCGGGGTGAGTGGGAAGGCGCTGGGGCAGCAGGGACGCCTCCCTCGGGTCGCAGAGCGGCACGGGCTGCAGGCCGTCCTTGGCTGACTTTCACGGACTTGGACTTGGCTCATCAGTTAGCCTCACACCCGGACGCCTAAATGCACACTCACTTTGCCACTCTCCTACTGAGAAAAGACCCTCGATCTTACGTGGTTCTCTCTTTTAATCAAAGAGGTGGAATTAGAGACACAGATTTGTTATTAAAACTTTGCTTCAGTTAGTTGTGGTTAATTAGTAAGATTTGCTGCTTCTACATAGAGTCATAAGTTTCTAAAGATCTTGGCGATGAATAGTCATAATATTTTTTAAATTTTTTTCATAAAAAATGGTTCTCTTCCTTGCAGATTTCATGTAGTTCCAGCGTAAGCTCGAGTATTAAGCTAATAAGATGCTATTCATTTCTGTGAAGTTGGGCAATTTCCCCTCCTTTCTCATGATTTATTATTTTAATTTCTATTTTTAAATATGTTTTATCCAATTAAATGCTAGGGAAATCACATTTTGCTTCTACCACGAAATTACCAGAAGTGAGAGAAAATTTAATGAAAGTTCTGTTATGCCACCTAGTGGCTAGAATTGAAACTGCAGCCTTTAAGCTGAAAAAGAGCCCACTGCACAACAGGAGACCAGAGACCCGAGGAAACCAGGAAATCGGAACGGGAAGGAGGGCACGGTGTCTGCTCAGAAAAAGTGCAGAACCATCCCCAGCAAGACAGCTCACTGGGATCCATGTTTGTGATAATGTGGCAATAGAGCCTAGGAAGGCTGTGACCGGCAAATGAATGATTTCTACGAGCCACACGCAGTGGCCCTGAATCACATACGGCATCCTGTGTTTTCCCCGGGAGGCCCATCCTCAGAGCACGGCAGGGAGACTGCTGTGTTTTGTTTTTATTAGCTTTACCTTTACACGGGCGGCGTCAGCAGTAAAAGTTTTGCTGCTCGATTTTCTTAAAGTATTTTGAATAGTGAGCTGACAGCCCACACGGACCCACCCACCTCCGTGCCCAGCAGTCCCTCTGTCTACAGGCGGAGCACGCAGGAACTCCCGGTGGGAGGAGGGCCCCAAAAAGCAGGAGAACGCCCCTGGTCGGTATGTGACGATCGTGACTCAAAGCACATAAAGTGCTCGTGTCAGTACCTGGCCTTAGTAAGTCGTGTTGTTGTCATACTGTTTTCAGTAACTGAAAGACAAAGCTGAGTGGTCACAGGGGAGTTCCTGCACAGGTGGGGTCGGGTTCTTCCCGTGGCCAGGCCAGCCCCCAGGGGCACGGACTGGGCTCATCCCCAAGGCTCCAGCCAGCAGAGACTTGCCACTGTGACTGTGCAGGGCTGACACGCTAGAGAAGGAGCATTGTTGTCAGTTTTCGGGGACGACTTGATGGAGGAGCCTTTTGCTAGGATCCGTAAACAGTGAACGTAGGGCTGGGTCCCGCATCACTGATACCTCAGTGCGCTGTGACGTGGTCATACTTCGCAGAGTACTAATCACATCGGCTGCTGCTCCCAGCAGCTCCCTCCATCGCGCAGCTGTGCCGTCGACAGCACGGGCACCGGGCTCAGTCCCCTGCCCTGGCTGTATCACCGCCGCTCGCTCAAGGGGAGTCGAGTTGACATGGAGCGAGAGTTCATTTCTGAGATCGAGCGGGCAGATCCCTGAGAAGCTCATTTATACTCGAAGGAGACTTAATGTCCCAGGGACTTGTCGCTTACTATAGTCTTAAGTTCTGTTTCAAAGAAGCGGGAATGAACCTAGAGACAGAAAGCTTTTCAGAGATGAACCCCACCAACCTTACAGTCGTGCTCCAAGTTCACCATCATTGAAAGAACTTTCTGGGCATAGGGACCACCTTCTAAGCTAGAGGTTATCCGTACACATCTCCAGAACCCTCACTCAGGTCTGTGACACGGGTTTTCGCACTGCACTCAGTTCCCCATTGCTGAAAACGGAGCGGTGTCCGACAGTCCCCTCCCCACAGCAGGCCGCGTCAGTGCAGTGCCTGCTGCACCCCAGGGCCTGCCGGGTGCGGGTCCAGAGGGGAGCAATGCGCAAGTCTGCCCTCGAGATGCTCAGGATGTAAGATAGAAAACATCTCACTCTGGGGGTCTCTTCCTCTGATGCTTGTTGCTGGTACGACCTTAGGGAGACAGCCAGCAGACTTCCTGACTCCGTTCCCTCATCTGCAAAGCATGTTCTGTAATGCCAGGAATCACGGGGCGCTCGGAAGAATTAGACAGGTAAAGATGAGAAATAACAAATTTAAGACACATGTTTTATGTTAATATAACGTTACTCTTAGCTCTTACACAGGTACTCCCGCTTTAGAGAGAAGGCGACAGGTATAAAACTGCTCCGACTTATAAATCAGAACATGTCCTACTGACATCTATAAAGGAAGTAAAGCTGCGTCACAAGGGGAAAAACTAGCCCTGGATGTAAATTTTTATCATACAGTGATGGAGCAAAATATAGCACAAGAAAATAATCACTTTCTGGGAGGGAAAAAAAAATATCATCATTTTCAAACACATCATAAAATGTAGCGACTTCACGATGAACTGTCGTTTAACGGAGTCTGAGTGCGGATGAGGAGGAGCCAGCGCATCTGTCCAGACGCGGCCGTGAGGGGACAGAATCACTAATTGATGAAATTTAAGTTACAGGTTTTCACTGCATACAGCTGCGTTTTGTTTACGTGACTGCTAAATGCAATCATGTTCATCAGAATTCATATTTAAAATGGTTCGAACGTTTTTCTCCGAGGAAACCCAAGTTCTAAGCGTGAAGCTCTCCGCCGAGTGCTACAGAGGAATGTTCTCACGGTCACTGGTCTGCTCCAGGACTTGGCACCTGGCTTGGTTTAGCACGTTCCCCTGTGCAGGTCTCCCTGACTGGTGCTTTCTGCCGGGAGCCCACCTCACTGGTTAAGATGAAAATCATTAACCGCCCTCCTCCACGGAGGGGGTGTGTTCCTACAAACAGTCTTGGGATGTGCATTTTACTTAATTTTCATTAAGCTGATCAAAATTAAAGTTGGTGTCTCATCAGTGCTTCTCCCCAGGTCTGTCCCCCGCCCTCCCTCCCTGTAGTGGCCACTAGCGTGATTTTGAGGGCACCTTTCCAGTCTCCACTTGATATCCATGTAAGCATCACCGGCAGACAGTATTATTTGGTGTAGTTTTTTCATACTTGGAATCATGTCGAATACATTCTACACCTTGCTTTTGTGCAGATGTGTTACTTGCTGAGTTCAGTCATATCTGTATGCACAGACAGCAAGAGAGAATTTTATTTTAACCCCTCTGTGGTTTTCCGACCTGCGGATCTTAAATATTTTTATCTGTCAGACTCATCATCATTTGACTCAAACGTGTCATCCACGTGAGCACCTTCTTGGGGCTCCCCTCTTTCCCATCCCCACTCCTAGGCAGAAGTAAACTCCCTCAAAGCTTTATGTTTTCTTAGGACATGATTAACTCTATCATCAATTACAGCTTCTCTGTTTACTTAAACCATCCTCGCAACTAGACTTAGCCTCTTTCATTGTCCATTACTCCAAGGGCGTGGTGCAAGGACTTGCTCATGGCAGCTTCTCATCATACTTGTTGAACTGTATTAAAAAGTCATTCCTGCCAGCCCTGGCCTTTTTCCTATTCTAGATAACCAAAAGCTACACTTTCTCAAATAAATTTTTAAAATTCTAACAGCAGGTTCATCTGAGTGCTTCTCACCAATGACTACTTGAAGATACTTCAATCATAAATTACTAACTTTCTTTATCAGCTAGGCAACCCTGAGGTCTAAATTTCATATGGATCTAGGTCAAGTGTTTGCTACTGAAATCATTACAGAAAACTGGTGGCTGCTAGGAGAACGAGCACCCCAGTCACGAAGTGGAGACCCGCCCTTTGCTTCTCTTTTCTTTTCTCTTCTGCTGACCACGATTAGTTCCTTGTGAGATAATAATTCCCCAAAGGATGGGCAGGACCAGCCGCTAGAGGAAGCTGCTGCATGGAGGCAGCTCTGGGAGGAAAGATTAAAATATTTGGTGAAAGTGGAAGATTTAAAACTATGTAAAAAGATTTTAGAAGCATCTGTAGCTTTTTCTTTAGCCTGGCATAGAGATAAATTATAATTATTTGCACAGAATACAAAAATAGACATATATTCTAACAAATCAGATTTGTTTATTACACTGTTAAAGTGGATATGAACAGTCATTCACTTAACAGATACCGCTTTTGTATCTATTACTCTGCCTTTAAGAAGATGATAATTGAATTGAAGCAGTAAGACAAATAAGCTCACAAAGTTAGATAACATCTAACAATAGTATGAAAGATGATATAAGAAAAATGTTCAACAAAGATTTGGATAAATGTCAGTCTTAATATACTACTAATAAATTATTATTATACTGTCATAATCATTAATAGCTCTCATTAAGCATTAGGTTTTGTGTAAGTAAAAATTAGCATTCTGAGTTAAATATTATTTCTACCCCCATTTAACATTTAGGAAACTGAAGGCAAGAGAAGTTACATAGCAATAGATACTAGAAACAGGACTGACCCAAATCCATCTGACCAGGATCCAAACTCTCACTATTATACTACAGGGGCTTTTTTTCTCCCTAAAGTTTGGGTCAAGACAAGTCCATGTTCATTGGCAACTAATATTTTAGTGTTAACACAGACATTAGCTATTATTGTTTATTTCCATTTCATTTTAAAGTCATTTGGAATATTGGCCTTTATCTGTGTCTATAAGAATTATTTTTCTCTCTATTGCTTTTCTCTTTAGGGTTGTGATACACAGATGCTTTATGACATGTTGTTAAGATTGAAATCCACTGTCTATTTACCTGGTGACTTTGTCTGCAAAAAGGTGAGTGTGTGCTATTTTTCAGTTGCATGACAGGTAATAAGTAAATTTGAGGAGTTCAGACATAAGTTAAGAACATTGTTTAAAGAAAATTTGTCCAAGGTGTATTCTATAGTACAGAAATAATTATGATATATAATTCCATAAAAGAATAATGTGCTCTCAGAGTTCAAAATGGAACCAGACAATATGGATTTCATTACTTACAGGACACTAGTGGGTAGTCTGAAAGGTTTCTTTGTATAAATGTAAATCATCAAGCATCACACCCCATGAATTCCAAATATTTAAAGTGGGGGAAAAAAATTACAGAAATAAAAGGTGGTTATGTCCTTTTTATGTATTCCAAAAACTATCGGTTACCTCCATTAAGCTTACCCAGTTAGTGGATAGTCAATTTTACATGCTTTTTATGATTACAGAAGTAATACGTGTTTATTATTTTTAAAATGGAAAACACAAAAAGGGCAAAGATAAAAATTCCACCACCCAGAAATAACCACTATTAATATATTTCAACCTGTCTTTTTATATTGATTGAGGATAGTTTTATAAAATTGGCATTATACTGTACTTACGTTCTGAAACATGGTCTGTCACGTAACAATATATCATATGAGCATTTTACATATTCTTATATAATCTATAACCTCATTTTCAAAGCCACGTAATTTAATCTATGAATATATCACAGTCAATTTGCAAATATTTGCTATTATAAATAACACTAAAATGAACATTTTTGCACATCTCTGATTACTGATCTAAGGGGAGAGAGAAGGAATGATGACCTTGGGTTTATATCTTGAGAGACTAAATCAGTAGTACAGTCGATAATCAAAATAAAAAGCGGAGGAATGTGCATAGTTCAGAGAAATGCGAGGTGACCCCAAACTCAGGGGCGTCCACAGCGAGTGCAGGTGGGAAGCACTTACATCATTCCAGAACCGTGTGTTAGGCTGTGAGAGAGCAGGCACAAGCTGGTGTAGGACACAGCAAGGATGCTTGTCCCACCCGGTACCGGCAAGATTTCCCGGAGAAGATGATGTTCAAGCTGAGTCTTGAAGAAAGAAGTGGGGAGAAGCAGGACACAGGCATTCCAGGTGGAGGAAGGACTTAGATGCGCTGAGGCAGAAAGGAAGGGGCCGCGTCGGCACGGGGCATGCAGAGGACAGCAAGTCACCAGCTAGAAAGCTTTAGCATCGTTCGCTCAATAAAACTCAACAAGTAGTTTCGAATGCCATGGGCCAGGCACTGTGCCGGGTACTGGGCAGTTGTCGGCAGCAGAGGAACAGATAGATGGTTCTTGCCCTCCAGGGGCTTACGGTCTAGTGCCGGGGTACTCAGGTCACCATGTGCATCAAGTCACCTGAATTTAGAGGTCTGGGCTCCATCCCCAGAGATTCAGTCGGTCTTGGCAGAGCCCACAGATCAATATTTTTTAAAAGCAGCCAGATGATTCTAAAATGTAACCAAAGAGGAGAATCACTGGCCTGATGGAAGAGACCGACAGTACACAAATGAAATTAAATAAATGCTTAACTCCAAAATGTACCGACTTCCATAAAGGGAAAGTAGAAGTTGCCAGGAGAGTGTGTAATGGCAAAGGAGGAAGCAGAGGTCGTCAGGCCTGAGCTGTGCAAACTCTAAAGAGAAAGAGTTCTTTAGTAGGACAGTGGAGAGGACAGCGTTTGACGTGAGGCCGTGGGGCCATGAGGCAGGACAGAGCTTGGCACATTCAAGGAAAGGAAGCAAATCATCCACTGGGATAAAGGTGAAAGACAAACAGAGTGTAGGGCAGGGGTCCCCAACACCCGGGCCACGGACTGGTACCGGTCCATGGCCTCTTAGGAACCGGGCTTCACAGCAGGAGGTGAGCGGCAGGCAAGGCAGCGAAGCTTCCTGTGCATCTGCAGCCGCTCCCCAGCACCAGCGTCACCGCCTCAGCTCTGCCTCAGATCCTCAGGCATTAAATCCTCGTAGGAGCACCAGTCCCTGGCGCCACAAAAGTTGCAGACCTCTGATATGCGGTACTTCAAGGTGTCCAGGTGGAGACACCTAGAGCACGGGTGGAAATTAGTCTTGTCCATGAGAGAGAAAGGAACTGGAGGTAAATTTTGAGAACAGGCATGTGACGGAAGCTGACTTCAAGTAAAGGCCAGAGAAGAGGACCCAGAATACAGTGTTCGTGGAGGTCCATGGAGAAGACTCCGAGATGGCAGCTGAGGAGGAGCTGTCAGAGGAAGGAGAGGAAAAAATGAGAAGTTTAATGTAATGAAAACCAAGAATATGCAGCCCCACACAAGTTAGTCTGAGATAAGTCGGCCAACTGGTGATATGAAATCACTTTCATTAAAATGGGAACTAGAAACCACGGCTCAGTGTAAGGCCCCCCTAGGGTGGTGTTTTGGGACCAACAAGGCCTTACTGCACCAAAATGGCCTTTCGGTTTGTTCCGGTAGCAGCAGGGACCGAAAATGAGATAACTCAGACAGTTGAGCGCCCACACCCCTGAGAAGTGCCGATGTGCTTCCCAAAGGGTGAAGTGCAGAGTGGACGCAACCTTCTCATTGCCAGCGCCTCATATCGCTTAGGGACGAGAGCAGATCCGCGAGCACAGACGAGGGCGGAGAAGGAGCCAGGAGGAGGAAAGCGGAAACGGGGCCACATTTCTTCGTCGTCGTCTGCGGGGGACCTTGAGTCCCGGGAGATACCGACAGGAGGGAAAGGCTGGCGCTTGCCCGGGTTTGAGACAGCTGGCCCGGTGTCGTTCTGCTCACCATTTCCACAGGTCCCCGCGGGAAACGGAGGGAGAAGCTCGTGCGCCTTGGAAGTGGCCCCGCTGCCTTAGGAGACGGCAGGGCTGGGGCCCAGTGCGCTGGCCTCCCTCATCCTCCCTAATCCGCAGGGCAGCTCTTAACCTCACCCAGCGGGCAGCCCCGGCTGTTTCAAAGAGAATTTGGGAGTTTTCCCAGGAATAATTGTCAAGAATTAATGTGAGTGTCATGATGCCCCCACTAGCCTCGGAAGTGGCTTCTGCCCAGGAACCCTGAGAACTAGAAGTGCCACCCACTAAGGGTGCCCCGCTGTCCACGAAGCTCTCGCACTTCCCGCAGGTTAGCGCGTCAGCCCCGCACAGGAGCCGGGTCCGCCTCATCTCGCGTGCGCCAGACCTCGTGCTCTGAGGAATGGCTGCTTCATGTGCTGCTAATTAAACTTTCGGGAGAGGCTTAAATTAGTCTAGAAATATGCAAGAAGTAGTAGAAGTTTTGGTCTATTGATTATGCCAAATCTCTTTGGATAATGATCATTAAAAAATAATTACAAGTGCTGAACTCTTATTTAAGGACCACTGTGTGCTTCTACCTCGTCAGTTGTAATAACTGCCTCTGAAAAATCATCCAGTTCCTCAAGGATTACTTCATGCCAAGAAGAAGGGATACGCCCTGTTCTCATCATCATTTCCTGGAGTATCTCTTGGAAAACTAATTTTCAGATAACTTTCCCTTATTTAAAAATACTTTATACTATTTTATTGGTTTCTAAAAGATTAGTCTTGGTATTAGATTCATTATTAAAAATGATCTACCTGTACATATTAGACAGAATTAGGTGCTACTGTTTCAACACTGTCAGCTGCCAGCCTTGTAAGTTTGCTCAAGATACAACCGTTCAAGCCTCTACTACCAATTTTTAAATGAGAATAATGCAGTCTCTTGTATTTGACCTCACTGGGATTTCTGCAGGAACTAAGTGCACTAACGTGTATGAAAATGCTCTGCAGTTAGAAAGTAGCACATTCTGTTAGAACAAATATAGGAATTAAAATAAAGAGCAATGTGACTATCATACACTGTTGTGATTTTGAAAACTAGTAGGCAAATGAGAGAGATTGTTACTGGCGTTGATATCAAGGAAGTAACCACAATAAGATCCATCCGTATTGGGATTTCTTCCTTGATCTATATTTGAGAATAAATATTCGCTTAATATACTGCGCAATGCAAAATTCGAACATACTCCCTACATTGCACAGTTAGGAGATGCTCATTCTAGGCCTCCTTTTGCTTCTGACTGTCATGGAGCTTTGGGTAGTCAGCTAAGCCAATCTGTATCTTTATTTTCCTTTCCATAAAATAGAAATAATAGTACTTACTCTACCTTCCTCATAAAGGTAATGGGGAGATAAAATGAGAATTTCAACTTCACATAGGGTTAACTAAGAGGCGGAGTGTGAAAGCTTTAAACTCGACCAAAAATTATAACACGATAATTAATGTTCAGGAAAATAACCTTTTGTTAAAAGACTTCAAAACTTCCCAGAGAATGGTTAAATTATGTTTCCTTCATTCATAAATGAGTGACTATGTCACAAGCCCTGTGCCAAGCACTGGGACACAGTAGGTGTCTCAGCCGTCGCAGAGTGTAAACTAGAATCAACGTCATTTAATCCTGAGTTAATTTTAATGTATTCTAATCCTTCGAAAATACAGTTAACAAAAATATTTTATTAAGTCACATAACCCAGTCCCTTCCTGAACAGAGTGTCATGCTATTTTTTTATAGTTCAGGATGATCAAGACAACTCATTGAGATATGTAGGTACTATTATCCAAAATGATCTGTCTGGTATCACGCAAACCTGCTTATCGGAATGTAGCAGCTTTTCTTGGCCCAGATGCCCTTTCGGTGTCTTGTGAGGCATATTTATTCCTTTTGGATCTTGCAGTGAGGACATACGTCCCAGGGGCCCCACAGCCACCTGCTGGTTTGGTGATCCGCACGACTCAACATAAAGTTATGGTTATGGCTTAAGACTTATTACAGCAGAGCACACGGTGCAGGAACAGCAAGGAAAAGGCACACAGAGACAAAGATTAGAGAAATCAGGTATGGAACAAGAATGATAGCTTAGAGGCTCGCATGCCCCAGGTTCTAAATCTGTAGTAGCGTGAAATGGCTGCAGCCCATGCTGTCTGGGTAGACCGAGCAAAGCAGCGGTCACCGACGCCAGGCGGGCCGTGCTACAGTCAGCTGCTTCCTCTGCCCGTGCCCACTCCTGGAACAACGTGCTGGCTGCGATGGCTCCCGGTGGCCAGCGGCGGCATTCAGTGCTCACAGGGCTAATAATTTCCTTCCACCTGGTGTCTGTAACCTACCCCAGGCCTGAAAATGGTTGCCTTTTCATCAATGTTCCTTGCTTCCTTCACTTACATCGATTCCTCTAGAAGAGTTTCTGTGTCTTCACGTGGGGGGTAATCGTCAAGAATAAAGTAATAAAGTGCCTCTTTGTATTTGGCATATAGGGAGAAATTGGGAAGGAAATGTATATCGTCAAGCAAGGAGAAGTCCAAGTGCTTGGAGGCTCCGACGGTACGCAAGTTCTGGTCACTCTGAAAACTGGGACAGTGTTTGGCGAGATCAGGTATCCGAAAGACACTTCGTAAATGAGGGAGGCTGGCATTGTCATAAAGGAAAAATCTTAGGTTTTAAAATTTGGAAAGTTTCTGCTCCAGATTATCGAGGGTTTGATTTTGCTGAGAGCATTGAAAATAAGGATTTTCATTTCTATTTATCCCTTTTCTTCCCCCAAAAGACTTAGCTCATACAGCTGTTTAGTCTTGAGACTTAGGTCAGTGCTTAATATATGTCGACTGAATACATGAATGAATGAATAGTGAAAAAAATGATCAGAAGAATCTGTTGTTGTCATATTGCTGGAAGACTTGAATGCCAGGCTAAGACAGCCGTTTCGAGTAGGCGAGTGATAGCATCACAGCTGTGGGACCAAGTTGCCTGAGTCCAAATCCAAGGTCACCACTTCCTTGACCTCCGTGTTCCTCAGTTTCCTCATCTGCACAACTGTAATAACAACAGTGCACGTCTTAGAGGGCTGGCAAGTGAGTTAAGTTTTAGGATGGCCCAATAAGTGTTAACTGTTGCTATTATTCTGTATTGGCCTTTGCTACAAATAAGTCCCCAAGAGCAAGAAAGCAGACAACAAATTTAGGCATCTCGTGCGCTAGACACTTCCGAATGTGTTATTGTATTTACACTTACTCATTCATTCATCAGCAAAGGTGTGCTGGGTGCCTAGTGCTGGGGTGTCGGGTATCGATCTGAACCCGGGGCATACACTTTGAAAATAGCACAGAAGGTGCGCCCCACGAGCTTGCAGCCCTGCGGGGACTGACAGCGGCTGAGCAATGAAGCAGACGGGCCTAGGTTCACGTCCCCATCCGTGCAATGTGGGTGAAATCGCTGGAAATGGCTGGGGTGCTCGTTTGGGTTCCGTGGTCAGGGACAGCCTCCCCGGACTGGAGCGAGCCCGTGGAGCCGCTGTGCAGGTGTGGGCTGACGGCAGGGCGGGCAGATGCGGGAAAACCACGCTCGTCTGGTGACAGACGCACAGGTCGTGGCCGAGTGCAGTGAAGGAGGGGCACGAACAGGGAGGAGGCCCACGCTGCGAGCAGAGATCGGGTTATCCGCGGCCTCGTGCTGGGGACTTTGTGTTTTATTCTGGGTACAAATGGATAACATTGGAGGGTTTTAGGCAAAGGAACGACACCCTGAATTATGACTCTGAAAGGCTCCGCAGCTCTGTGGACTGCAGTGGTAGCAGAGAGGGCTGAGACGGGGGACCCGTCGGAGTCAGCCGCAGGGCTTCAAGTGAGGGTGCGGGGGTCTTGAACTGGGACACCGGCTCTGAGGGGGAGAGCAGATGGTCAGGCAGCTAATATGTCCATTTCACAGCTGAGGAAAGTGTGCCTCCAGGTGCCACTGACCTTGCCCGCGATGACATAGGAAGGGGCAACGTTCAGACCCGCATCTCGTGGGCCAGGGTCCAGAGATCCCGCCACCACACCCCGGAAAGATGTTCATCCAGCCCTGGATCTCGTAGCTGCTAAGAAGCCATTCTCACATCCCAGGGAGCTCTCATGGTAGTGTCGTTAGGGGCTCCTCAGTGTCCAGGCGCGTTATTTCCCCGCCCACCACGTGGCCTCTGTTTATTTTCCTCCTTGCTCAGAGCTGGCGGGCACTGCTGGAGGCCCCGCTGTGTGGCAGCGGTGGGGCCGCTTCTCAGAAGGCCTGAGGTCCAGTCCTCTGCCCATTTCCTGTCGTCGTCTTACATGGACTCCTTGCAAGAGGGATTTAACATTTTGGTGACTTAATAATCACTGCCATCTTCAAGGTCATGAAACATGCAGCAGTCTCTTTGGAAACACTGCAGAAATTAATCAGCCGACCTCTCCCAAGGGCTGAGCGTTCCCAAGAGAGAAGAGCTTTGTCAGCACTGGGATGCGCATCACTGCCGCGTCATCATTGCTGGAGGAAGCGCCCCGGGGCTGGCTCAGACTGGACAGCAGCCCCTCACATGAGTCTCCTTCCACCCACCTGGTTCCTAAGGCTGAGCAGAAGCCAGCAGGCCAGACACACCCTAAACTGGCTCAGGAGTCTAGTTGATTTGAGCAGAAGGGAGCTTTTGGCCTTGATTCTCTTCTTGGCCATGGGTGAGGGGGAGCAGGATGCACCTGCCCCTTCCCAGATCCCCAGAGCTCCAGATCCCCAGAGCTCCACAGCCCCACAGCCCCACAGCCCCACAGCCGTCATGCGCCCCTGGAGCAATAGCTATTCATCCCAGTGCTGGACGCTTCGCCTGCCAAACATCTAGACACTGGAAAGACCGAGCAATTGTGTTTACTACTCAGAAATGCTGTGACCTTTGTTAAAATGAGCTAAGTGCATCACTTTCGTGTAGCTTTTTAAAGAAGGTCCTTTTTCTTTGGAAAAAAAATAAGAACTGAGGGCTTTCAAGGACATTTTATATTAATCCAAAAGAGCAAAGCCTCGACTGAAAAATAGATTTACAGCCTGTCATGGAGAAAACCCAGGCCATATTTCCAACGAACATCTGAAGGTGCAGACACCCCGTTTTAAGAGAGAGCCGGGGTCTGCCGAGCGTTGGCCTTTCGTGGTCCTGACTCCCTGTTTTCCTGACACACACGTCGTGCCAAATCAGATCCACCCAATGTGTCTAACCACTTCCTGTCTCCCTCTGTCTCTGTTAAAATCTCACTTTTCTAGAAACACATCTGAGTTTTTACCCTTGGAATTGCTGTTATGATTTCAACAGGATTCCCGACTGGTTTTCTCTCTTTTTGGGATGTCCTCCCCCTAGAAAATACCTTCTCACCCTTCAAGACTCAACTCAGAGGTCAGCTGTCTGAAGCCATCTCTCACTGGTTGCTCTCTGCTCTGTGCTCCCTGTCCTGTGCTTTCGTAATGTTGGTCATGGCTTTGACATGACAGTCACCTCTGACTGATGATGACTTTGCTCAGATGTGTCTTCCCAACATCCTGAGCTATGAATATATAAGAATTAGAACATTCCATCTTTATGTCACCAGCAGCTACATCAAAACCACATGATACGTGTTGATTTTTCCTTACATCCTGCCTCTATTCAAAACCAATGCAGGAGCTATTCAGCAACTTTTAATTAACTAAATAGTCAATAGTGATTTGATGAAAATAATAGAAAACTGTATTCAGGATCCCTTGCAGCATAATGCAGAGTGTCCCAAAGTAGGCCACACATGGCATGGTGAACAGGAAGCAGCCACTTCCCTCGAAGGCTTATGAATAGGTGAGACAGGAAACGGAGGAACAGAACGAAGAGTCCAGCATCCGGCGACGGAGCACACACGCGACGTTATGGAACACAAGACTTCACGAGCACCAGCGTGTCCTTGGATTTGGCGGTTGCTTGAGGTTGTGGAGAACCGAGGGCGGACCTCCGAGTGCGCAGCCTCCTCTCCTCACTGCGTGCCCCCCGCCCACTGCATCCCACCTTCTCCATCGCCGCCCCGTGGAGCAGGCCACCTCCAGCCCTCCAAGTGGCCACTCCAGGCCCCCCCTCCTGTGCCACGTCTTCTCCAGTCCAGTCGCCTCTGCCGCCAGGGGGTCTTCTGGAAACACAGCCAGGACCACGTCCCTGCCCTCAGCGTACAGCTGTGCCGTGCCTTCTCATTGTTCCTCAGGATGAGATGCGCATCGCATCCTGACCTGCAAGGCGCTCGGCATCACCTGCCTCTCTTTCAGCCCACACCTGGGTCCCTTCGGCATGCCGCACGCCACGCAGCCATTGGGGGTTTTCTGCACAGACTGTTACCTCTGCCGGCTGCTTTCCCCGTCCCCCTAACCCCGTCTCAGCTTCTTGCAGGATTCTAGATTCTCCCTGCAGGACCCCCGGTTCTCTTTGCTGTGCGCTCCTTCAGGGAACTTACCTCTGCAGTTACGCACTCACCTGACCGGCGCATTTGTTTCCTGTGTTTCTCTTCCTCACGAGACTGCACGCGCTGTGCCTCAGGTGGGGGCTGGGGGCTGTGGGGCCAGAGACCACAGCAGACACGCTGGGTTCGTCTGCACTCGATCCCCAGCCCTCGAGGCTCTGCCTGGCCCACATAAGTGCCTAACAAATAGTTACCGAGTAAATAAGTGAATGTAGTTATCTGTCCATCTTCGCAAATGTACTAATACACATTCATTTTTGTCACGAATGTGCATAATCGGCCTTGTGCCCTTTTTGTCAGTTTTCATTGTTTAGAATGGCACTGCTGTGTTTATCTTTGTAAAATTACTTCGTCTTCTTTTATTTCTTTGAGGTTTATTCCCAAAAGTGAAATAACTAGGTCAAAAGGTAGAAACATTTCTATAACACCTATATGGGCAGATTATTTTCCAAAAACTCTTACATACAATACCACGTGCAGTGCAGAGCTTTTTCCCCAGCATCACTGATATTACTTTATTACTCTCATTGCTTTTATATTTTAATAGGTTGTTTAATTTGCATTTCTCTAAACAGTGCCTAGAAAATGATAGGTCCTCAGTAAAGGTTTGCTGCTGAATGCATTTTCCATGGGCCTCTTTATTTTCATAAATGGGATCCTTTACCTTCCGCATTTCTTCCTTTGTTATCGCCCATTTTTCGTCCTGTATAACAAGTTTTTGAGTAGAATTTACGTATTTCTATATCCTTATGTGTTTTACATTGTCTGGTTTTCATTTAAAATATTTAAGTTCTAACTTTTCACCAGTTATTTTGTTCAAATTGCTCATTCTGTGGATATTTTTATATTTACTTTATATCATTGTGAAAAGACCAACTATTTTGAGAAATAATTTCAAACCTCTTTTTTTTTTTCCTCCAAACAATGTTTACCTATTTCTCCTGAACACTTAAAATGGGAGTACCAAGAGGGACTTCTAGTTTTTTTGGACTCTTCTAATTCTAAACTCTTACTCTTCGTCAGAATAACTCTGTTATTCCTTCCTCCACCCCCATCGCCTGCCTTTCCTAAAAGACAGAAATGGTGGACACGTTACAAGTATGAAGAGGGGTAAGAGGATCGGTTAATATTG